GGAGTGGATTTGGATGGAGGATCCATGGACCCACAAGTGGGAACAGGTCCGAGTCCCCCATGAGGAGGCGGAGAAATGCCGCCAACTTGGTCTGAAGCCTCGCCCATCGTATTGGGGTGAGACCGAGACCAAGGAGTGGAGGAGGAAACTCCGGGAAGAAAGAGAGGCGGTAGCCCGAGAGCTTGAACGGAAGAAGCAATGGCATATAGCCGAATTGAGGAAACTGGGGGGTTACCCGGCCCCTGGGGCGTCGAAGGAGGAGATGGGTCGTCCTGGGGTGAGTGGAGCGGGGATGAAGAGACTCTACCGTTGATATCCCTAGATGAAGAACTGGACCCTGGGCAGGGGACTGTGCCGTTGTTAACAGGACCTTGGAACCCAGAGACAACAAACCCTTTTATAAATACTTTATGTTCCCTGTTAAAACCTAGCAATATGTTACAGGAATCCTTGAACCCCTTTTTAGGGGTGAATCCTGTTGGACTTGATGTTGCAATAAATACTGAACCTTTTGATTTACCCCAACCGACTCGTCCTTTATTGGAAGAACAGACAGCCCCAAAAATTGAACCCTCACATATTGGCGCCCAACGCGGGGGGCTGTCAGAACACCAAAAAGATAAAGACGGTTGGATATGACAAATAACCGAGGGGCAGGAATCCCTGATGCAACAGTTGGCAGACCAGCAGAAGCTAATCATAGAACAATTAGGCCGAACACAACTAGGACTGTCCCCCCAACCGGTATCGACGGAAGGGAGAAACCCCATTGCGACGCGTCCACCAATCAAAATACAAAAGATGGGCCCCCAGGACGACCCGGCGGCATTTTTGAATACATTTGAAAGAGTAGCGGTATCGGCGCAATGGCTGAAAGAGCAATGGGCACTAATTATAACCCCATACCTGACGGGGTTGCCTCAGGAGATAGTGGACACACTGGACCCAGAGGAAGCGGAAGACTATGAGAAGGTGAAAACCGCGATACTGAACACGTTGAACTTGAATGAAGAAGCTTATCGCAAGCGCTTTAGAGAATTGCAATTGAAGCTGGGCACCCACCCCCGAACCATAGCCCAAAAGATGAGGGTGAACGCCACGAGATGGGTACAGCCGAAAGGGAAAACAGCGGAACAGGTGCTGGAGTTAATGATATTAGAGCAGTTGATATCGACATTGAGTACGGGACCCAGGAACTGGGTGGTGAAACATAAACCCACCTCAGTAGAGGGCGCTGTTACCCTCCTGGAGGACTATCTAGGAGCTGAGGACCCATGGTTGAGTCGCCCCTCAGGAGGGGGAGAGAACCCGCGTGGCAGAGAAAGAGTGGCAGAGATGGCGAGTGCAGGAGCTACACGAGGAAGCCAGGCCGTGGTCCCCAAGAAGCAAGGCCCCGACCGGATCGAGTTCGTTAACCCGACCGGGTCGAGGATTCCCCGCCCGACGATTACGACGGACCCAGCAAAGAGCAAGCTGGCTCCGACCTGGAACCAAGGCAAAGAGAAAATGGCAGCCTGCTTCGGGTGTGGCCAGTTCAGCCACATAAAGAAATTCTGCCCAGCGGAAGAATGCGCATGGACAAATATATATACAAACATGGCCAAGGTGGGTGACCAACATCATCCTGGGTGGGTCATAATGGCCGAGGTCAATGGATGGAGAAAACGGGCCCTGATAGACACGGGATGCACCCGGTCACTGGTGAGGGAGTTAGAGGGCCCTCGACTAGGAGAGACTGTAGTGGTAAAATGCATCCACGGGGATGCAAAGGAATATGAAACCACTCGGGCGGATGTGACCATCGGAACCCAGAAAGAGGTGCTGGAGGTGGGAGTGGTCCCAGGCTTGTCCCGAGAAATGTTACTGGGCAGAGACTGGCCAGGCCTAGAGGACCTAGCCCGCAAAGTAGAAGATGGATACCTTAGCGAAAAGGACAGGGGAGAGGGGGAGTGTGAAGTGTTGCAGCTATCCCGAGATCAATTAAGGGGACTGCAACAAGATGACCCTTCCTTGGGACCCTGGTTACAAAGGGCCACTATGGGGGTGAAATCCCTATCAATGGAGAAGGGTTCGAATTGCGCCATGGTTTGCTATACCATGAAAGAACACAGCGAAGAAGCCGCCTTGGTGGTCCCCGAACATCTAAGGGGCTGGGTGATGCATTGGGCTCATGACCTACCGGTAGCTGGACATCAGGCTACGCAGAAAACCCTGGCAAGAATTCGACAAAGATTCTCCTGGCCTAACATGGTGAAACAAGTAGAGGAATACTGCAAATCGTGCCCAGAGTGCCAGCTGACACAACCCAAGGCTGGTCCAGGGGCAGGGTTGGGGCCTATGCCCCTAGTCGACAGACCATTCGACAGAATTACCATGGACATAGTGGGCCCCTTGACCAAGTCCGAAGGCGGCCACCAGTACATACTGGTAATCATTGACTATGCAACCCGGTACCCCGAGGCTATCCCCCTGAGGTCTACTACAGCTAACAGCATTCCGTGTCTCAATCACACAGGCCATGTGACCACGGAAAGATTGTCTTCGGACAAAACGCTGGCTCTATGGCTTGAAGAGCGGGATGAGCGCCGCCCCCTAGGGCGGACACGACTGGACAAAAATTGTCAAGGGGAACCTTTACCTTTACCTTTAAATTAATTTTACTAAAATGTGGGGGTTTTGTGCTGTTCTCTATGCAATGTATAGGCATCCTGATCAGAAAGCCATTGAGAAACATCCCCTACCTTCAATGTTTTGATCTGCTTTTTGGCCTCCCTAAAAAGAGGGTTGGCTTCAGACCGCCAAAACTCCCCACTGATGAGGGTATATAATAGCTGCCTATTGAGTTACTCTAGACCTCTGACTGTGTTCAGAAAAAAAAACTGCAGTAATGTTCTCCTCACAGAAAGTACAATTTCTGTTAGTAAGCTTTTTAAAGACCACCACAACAACACCCCAATATCCCCCATAACTATGCCTTTTAGAATTTTGCTCTTACCGGGCTGCTTTGGTCCTCTGCATCACTCTCAAAGCCCTCATCTGAAACCTCTTCCACGGTCAGATCCTCAGGGCCATAGGCACCCCACACATCCATCCACATCCTCTGCTGATTTCAGGGCATCTCCGGTTGACTTATGTAAATCTCTTTTTGACCCTTGTCCACAATCACACTCAAGATCAGCATCTTCATCATCACCCCACTTAAGGGTGCAGGCCAGCTTTCTTGTGCTTTTCTGCTTTGGCTTTGGGTCTTCAGGCAGCCTTCCCCTGAGCCTCGTAGGGGGTCCTAAGGGGCACAGGGGCTTGGAAAAACCCACAGCTCTATAATAGTAACCTTGGGATCGGAAACGCCTTTTGGGTTTCCCTGTATCCTTTTGGCTTGTCTTCGGGGTCAGGTTTTCTTTGTCCTCCATCTCCTCCCAAGACACACCGATCTCTGCAAAGAGCTACAGGCATACTCAGAAGGGCCCCGAAATCACCGCTGTGGCATTTCAGCAAACACTGTGGACTTTCAACCCTAGGCAGCCTAAGGGCATGCCCAGGCATGCCCTACGGCAGCCCCTTTTCTAACTAACCCCCCCACCCCTCCAATAGCTTCCCATTCACCTATAGGGGCCATCTGATGTTTTTGATAGTTACACATTGTCTTTAAGTTGCAAGCTTTTTACAAAAGTCTATAGGACTTATGAGAGCTGTCTATTTTGTGGCTTATTATTAAGGTCTGATCAACCTTTTATCTGAAGCCTATGGCTTAAAACTCTATAAGGTGGTTCCTGGAAAATTAAAAAGGGTTTTAACAAACACACACACAGAGAGATTCTAGGAAAAGGCCATGAGTATAAAAATGTGGGAAATGGTTGTTGTGGGTTTTTCGGGCTTCTTGGCCGTGTTCTGAAAGTGGTTCTTCCTAACGTTTCGCCAGTCTCTGTGGCTGGCATCTTCAGAGGACAGCAAACTGTGCTCAGCAAACTGAGCACAGTTTGCTGTCCTCTGAAGATGCCGGCTACAGAGACTGGCGAAACATTAGGAAGAACCACTTTCAGAACACGGCCAAGAAGCCCGAAAAACCCACAACAACCATTAGATCCCGGCCGTGAAAGCCTTCGCGAATACAATGTGGGAAATGTTTTATTTTGGATAATCTTAAAGCAGTTCAACTAAAATGTGGGTTTTTCAACTTATTGCAGGTTTTCCTTGTCAGCCAGAGTCTCCAAACCGTCCCGGTCTCTGCAAAGAGCAGCAAGCGGGTAGAACTCTCCAAAAACACTGCTGGGGCCTTTCTGAGATAGGCGGCTTAAGGGCATGCCTGCCCTACGGCCCTCGCTGTTTTCCACACAAACCCTCCAGCCGCTTCCCATTGGCTACAGGGCCGCGGAGGGGTGACATGCCCTTCGAGGCCAATCCTCAGGCTGCTCTCGGGTCACAGGGGACCCACACACCTATCAAAGACTCCTATAGGTCCACGGTGACCTCCATAACCCCTTACGTCACCCTCAACACCGCCCCCTTCCACCAGAAGGGGCCAGGGTTGACTCCTGACCCAGAAGTCTATCCTTGATCTGGAAGTCCCGCCTTACCGGGCAGTTGTAGCTGTCATAATTGAGTTTGATGAATGCTTGTCCCCTCTACTACTGCAGACACTACAATCAAGTGTCTTTTGATTGTCCCAAGCCTATTCCCTCTCACCTCAAATCTTCTTATCTTTTAGTATTTTTCTCCTCCAAGCATAGCCTAAAATTGGGATAATGTCATGTAGATAAGGATCCAGGAAATTCTCACGCTATAACTTTTCATTTCTGTAGCAGTGTCTGCCTGCTTTAGAAAAAGGTTTATTTAGCAGATTTAGTTATGTATGGTATTTTATTGTGTTTTATTATTCGTGTAAGCCGCCCCGGGTAGACTTTGTATAGAGGGGCGGGGTATAAGTTCTATAAAAGTAAAGTAAAAAGCAAAGCAATTCTGAAGGCTTTTCTACTCCTTGCTTTTTATTCAGAAAAGGGGGAGGGAAAGCAATGTTAGGACTTTCATAACAAAAAAAATAAAGCGACAAGGAACTTGACCCTCTTCTTTTGCTGGCCTTGATGTAGCTGTGGTGTTCCTCCTTTCTTATGGCAGTTGTAGACAGAGTCAAACCCTTGTCTTGATCCACAGTGAGATTTCCTTCTCTTCTGCACTCCTCATGGAATTTTCTCTTTTTTTTTCTCCATCAGGTCAGAAACAGGAGAATCAGAATTATATTGATCTACTTCTTCTGCCACTGAAAAGAGAGGAGACTCTCACCTGAATTTACATGAAAGAATCCATGTGAAAAAAGCAATATAAATACACAGAATTTGGATGGAGCTTCAGTCTTACCACTAGTTTCAGTAGATGACAAAGAACTCACACAGTAGGAAGACTATAAAAACATGGATTGTAGAAAGAGCTTCCAAGTCAGCAGTCAACTTAGTTCCCATCAACAAACTCACACTGGGGAGAAACCATTTAAATGTATGGAGTGTGAAAAAAGCTTCAATGACAGGGGATCATATACTCGACATCAAAGAAGTCACACAGGGGAGAAACCCTATAAATGCATGGAATGTGGAAAGAGTTTCAGTCACAGCAGTAACCTGAATTCCCATCAACGAACTCACACAGGGGAGAAACCATTTAAATGTATGGAGTGTGAAAAAAGCTTCAATGACAGGGGATCATATACTCGACATCAAAGAAGTCACACAGGGGAGAAACCCTATAAATGCATGGAATGTGGAAAGAGTTTCAGTCACAGCAGTAACCTGAATTCCCATCAACGAACTCACACAGGGGAGAAACCATTTAAATGTATGGAGTGTGAAAAAAGCTTCAATGACAGGGGATCATATACTCGACATCAAAGAAGTCACACAGGGGAGAAACCCTATAAATGCATGGAATGTGGAAAGAGTTTCAGTCACAGCAGTAACCTGAATTCCCATCAACGAACTCACACAGGGGAGAAACCATATAAATGCATGGAATGTGGAAAGAGCTTCAGTCACAGCAGTCCCCTGAGTTCCCCTCAACGAACTCACACTGGGGAGAAACCATTTAAATGTATGGAGTGTGAAAAAAGCTTCAATGACAGTGGATCATATACTCGACATCAAAGAAGTCACACAGGGGAGAAACCCTATAAATGCATGGAATGTGGAAAGAGTTTCAGTCACAGCAGTAACCTGAATTCCCATCAACGAACTCACACAGGGGAAAAACCGTATAAATGCATGGAATGTGGAAAGAGCTTCAGTGACAGCAGTCACCTGAGTTCCCATCAACGAACTCACACAGGGGAGAAACCATATAAATGCATGGAATGTGGAAAGAGCTTCAGTAACAAGGGATCATATACTAAACATCATAGAACTCACACAGGGGAAAAACCCTATAAATGTATGGAATGTGGAGAGAGCTACAGTCAGAACTGTTCCCTGAGATCTCATCAAATAACTCACACAGGGGAGAAACCATATAAATGCATAGAATGTGGAAAGAGCTACAATCAGAACAGTTCCCTGAGATCTCATCAAATAACTCACACAGGGGAGATACCGTATAAATGCATGGAATGTGGAAAGAGCTTCGGTGACAGGGGATCATATACTAGACATCATAGAACTCACACAGGGCGAAAACCCTATAAATGTATGGAATGTGGAAAGAGCTTCACTCAGAGCTGTCACCTAAGTTCGCATCTAAAAACTCACACAGGAGAGAAACCATATAAGTGTGCGGAATGTGGAAAGAGCTTCAGTCTGAGCAGTAACCTGAGGAGACATAAAAGAACTCACACTGGGGAGAAACCTTATAAATGTATGGAATGTGAAAAAAGCTTCAGTGACAGTGGATCATATACTCGACATCAAAGAACTCACATAGGAGAGAAACCCTAAAAGTGTGCAGAATGTGGAAAGAGCTCCAGTGATAGGAGATCATATATTAGACATTAAAGAAATAACACAGGAGAAATCGTATAAATGCATGGAACATGCAAACAGATTCTCTAGAAGCAGTCACGTTAGTGTACATCAAGGAACTAACAGAAGAGAGAAACTATATTAATGAATGGAATTTGGAAAGAGCTTCAGTCACAGCAATAGCCTTGGTTTACATGAAAGAACTCATATGGGGGAGAATCCATATATGTGTAAGGAGTGAGGAAAGACCTTCAGTCAGAAACCATTCAGTCAGAAGCCCTTGATCCCTTTTTACAGACAGTAGCTCAAGCTGAAGTGGCCAGTGCATCATCTTGTCCGGCGAGGTTAATTTTCCAAGATGGTTCCCCCTGCCCTCAAGGAGACACTCATTAAGCCCATTCAAAAGAACCCTAATTTTGTGGTTGACAAAGTTGGGAATGATAGGCCCATTGCCAATGTTTTTGAGTAAAGTAAAGTGGGGGGTGGTGGCCAATCAGCTCAAGGGTCTCCTGGAGAGCACTGATGCCCTTCACCTGTTCCAGTCAGCATTGGTCGCCCTGCAGGAGGACCTCCTGAGGGAGACTGACGGGCAATATTTCCTTGTTAGTCCTCCTTGATATCTCAGCAGCCTTTGATACTGTTGACCGCGGTATCCTGCTGCGGTGGCTCTCCGAGTTGGGGATCAGTGGCCTCGCTTTGGCGTGGCTCTGTTCCTTCATGGAGGACCGTCTCCAGAGAGTGCAGCTTGGCAAGATGAATTCTGCCCTGTGGATCCTCAATTGTTCCTCAAGGGTCGATCACCTTGCCAATGCTATTTAAAATCTATCTGAGGCCACTGGGTGAGTTCAACCGGAGTTGTGGGGCCCGGTGCCATCAGTATGTTGATGACACCCAGCTTTATCTCTCCTTTTTTCCAACTGATGTGGATGCTATTCTTTTTTTAAAAAATAATTTATTTTTAAACTATTAGGAATAGGGTAGGGTATACAAAAGGTAATACAAAAAGAAAACAAGGTAAAAGGAAGTGGAAGGGATGGGGACAAGATTTTAAGGATAGGAAAACACAGAATATACAAGCATCCAATCTATTCATATTAAGTATACAAGCATCCAATCTATTCATTTTTCAATAAAAAAATCAACTTTCTATGTTGTTTTTTAACTATTTGATTACCCTCTAGCTATCAACTTACATTTATGTTTTAGTTTAAACCTAAGTTACTCCAACACTATCAGGAAACCGAGACCATTTGTAAAATACATCCCCTCTTTCACTTTCCTTCTGTCTTGGACATACATTCAGCATGCCTGAAAAAGTATCCATTTCTGTCACTTCCCATATTTTCTCAGTACACTTCTTTTGTTTCCGTGGCTCTGTTTTCTTCCAGGTTTTGGAAGAGAAGGTTGAATCCAGGACAGTAATCCAATTTTAAACATCACATTTTCTGACTGTTGTAGCTAAATAGCTCACTGAGTAACTCTTTATCCCATCTATGTTACCTGGCATCGCACTTAATAAAAACAGCTCTGGAGTTAGTACAGTTTCATGTAACTGTTGTTTAACATCTGATGACTTCTCTTTCATCAAATCTTCCATCTGGCTGAGACGCTCATTTACCTTCTGAAATCCTATAAACTGTACACCAATTAAAAGAACATAGTCTAATTAAAAGTGCCTGGGCTGGCCAGGGGACCGAGAGGTGGGCCTTGGAAGAGGAGGACCTGAAGGGCCCGAGAAGGCTCCCAGGAGGAAAGGACAATCCGTCGGGGCACCTGGACCGAAGCCACGTTGGGCTCTGGAGCCAATGAACGGACTGGGAGCCCAGCCAGTTGACGTCCCAAGAGCATGATGGGCTCCCTGGAACTGGTCCCAGTCAGCAGCCCAGCTGCTCCATTTTGGTCTAGCTCAACTTTCCCAACTGTCTCCAAGGACAGTCCCTTGGAAAAGCCCTGTCCTGTTGAACTTCAGCCTGTCACGGAAGCCTTTAGAAGGGCAGGGGGTGTACAAGACGACGCACAGATAAGAGGCGGTACGAGTGAGCCCCTGAACCTGACCAAGAACAACAGCGCACCCCACTTTCTCATTCTGCTGAGGGAGGAATTTTGAACAAAATCAGGGGCTTCTAAAGCCTTTCTGAGGCGAGCCGTTCCCGCCAAGGACCGCCTCCTCAACTGCGCAGGCGCCACAGGTCCCTCCCTCTCCTCCCCCCGCTAATGGGCCCCTCACCCCCCCCCCCAATGGGGAAGAGGCGCGCCTGCGCATGGGAGGGACGGAGAGCAAGGAGAGAATCCCCTGAAGAAAAGGAGGGGCGCGGGCGTATGCAGCATCCTGATGGAGTCCCTTAGGACAGAGGCAGCCTGTTCTCCACAGCTGTGTCAGCCTCCTGCTCCTCGCAAGACCAGTGTCATGAGTCGTACATCTCAGCCCTTCCTGCAGGCGTCTGGGTGTGACCCAGACTCTAGCTAGAATCCCTGCCCCCACCTCCTGTGGAGGTGTTTAACCTGCAGGGTTTTGTCCTCACCCTCAGACAGGAGCTGCACATAGGCCGTCAACGTTTAGCCGTTCAGTTGTGTCCGACTCTTCGTGACCTAATGGACCAGAGCACGCCAGGCCCTCCTGTCTTCCACTGCCTCCCGGGAAGGTAAAGGTAAAGGTTCCCCTTATCATTTTTAGTCCAGTCATGTCCGACTCTAGGGGGCGGCGCTCATCCCGTTTTTCAAGCCATAGAGCCAGCGTTTGTCCGAAGACAATCTTACATGGTCACATGGCCAGTGTGACTTAGACACGGAGCACTTTTACCTTCCCACCGAGGTGGTACCTATCTATCTACTCGCATTTACATGCTTTCGAACCGCTAGGTTGGAGGGAGCTGGGACAAGCGATGGGTGCTCACTCCGTTGGGTGGATTCGATCTTACGACTGCTGGTCTTCTGACCCTGCAGCATAGGCTTCTGCGGTTTAGCCCACAGTGCCTCCCGGAGTTGTGTCAAATTCATGTTGGTTGCTTCGATGACACTGTCCAACCATTTCATCCTCTGTTGTCCCCTTCTCTTGCCTTCACACTTTCCCAACATCAAGGTCTTTTCCAAGGAGTCTTCTCTTCTCCTGTGATGGCCAAAGTATTGGAGCCTCAGCTTCAGGATCTGTCTGTGATGAGATGGGTTTTTGAGTTAAATTCTTGTAAGGAATATGGGGTTTGTAATTAAAAAATGAGCAAGAGAGGTTCCATCTTGTTTCTTTGTATAAAGTATCTTTGCTATGCTAACAGGTTGTTTTCTAGGCGAGCAGAGAGAATGTTATTCTGATAGCCTGAGAAAAGGACTCGGTGTGATTAGATGGGAATTGTTGTGACTCTTTGCTAAACCAGAGTAACCCAAATAACATCTGGTGTGTATGGGAAAGAAGCACCTCCTGTGGAGGTGTTTAACCTGCAGGGTTTTGTCCTCACCCTCAGACAGGAGCTGCACATAGGCCGTCAACGTTTAGCCGTTCAGTTGTGTCCGACTCTTCGTGACCTAATGGACCAGAGCACGCCAGGCCCTCCTGTCTTCCACTGCCTCCCGGGAAGATAAAGGTAAAGGTTCCCCTTATCATTTTTAGTCCAGTCATGTCCGACTCTAGGGGGCGGCGCTCATCCCGTTTTTCAAGCCATAGAGCCAGCGTTTGTCCGAAGACAATCTTACATGGTCACATGGCCAGTGTGACTTAGACACGGAGCACTTTTACCTTCCCACCGAGGTGGTACCTATCTATCTACTCGCATTTACATGCTTTCGAACCGCTAGGTTGGAGGGAGCTGGGACAAGCGATGGGTGCTCACTCCGTTGGGTGGATTCGATCTTACGACTGCTGGTCTTCTGACCCTGCAGTACCCTGCAGTACACAAAGGCTTCTGCGGTTTAGCCCACAGCGCCTCCCGGAGTTGTGTCAAATTCATGTTGGTTGCTTCGATGACACTGTCCAACCATTTCATCCTCTGTTGTCCCCTTCTCTTGCCTTCACACTTTCCCAACATCAGGGTCTTTTCCAGGGATGTGCAAACTCCTGATTGCTCTCTGTCCAGGCTTACGCGGATGTTTTCGAACTCCGTGTTTGCTCGCACTGTCCTCCCAGTGAGCATTCAGGGTTGATTTCCTTTAGAATTGATAGGTTTGTTCTCCTTGCAGTCCAGGGGACTCTCAAGAGCCTCCTCCAGCACCACAGCACATAGGCCAGGGTGAAACAAAAGAAGGGCTGCCAATAGAAATCTAGAGCACCAGGGATATAGAAGAAGGATGTGTCCATTTTGTTTTGTTCTCTTGGCCTCATGGGGCTGTTTTCGGAAAAGGCACTGTAAATACGCAATAACCTCAGAAGTCTATTTTGTAGCTAGAACCACTAAATGGAGGCTACTGTCCTTTTTGTGCACCAGATTTGTCAAAAAATATAAATAAATGAAGGCAGGAGGGGAGGAATCCTGTGCAGCCCACAGATAGGGAGGAGAGTGCCTTGACTCTTGCACACTCTCCACAACTTCCTTCACTACTGAACCAGATGTACACATCGCCACATCAGCCACAGTTCTGGGCCTCCGGGCAGAATTACCAAGGGGGAGGACCAGGACCCTGGGGGCTGAATATTCTCATAATGGCATCTCGATCCCTTCCTTTTGTAGATGGCTCTGCTATGGCACAAGTCGAGTCTGGATACTCCTTTGGGTCTTATCATGATAAGGCAGGGAAAGTCCCTCAGGCTGGGAAAGGAGGAAGAGCAGCAGGAGAAGAGGAGGACTCAATACAAGATGGATGGACTCCCTTAAAGAAGCCCCAGCCTCGCTGTTGATGCATGCGCTCAGCAGGACCGTTGAGGACCGGGCAATTTGGAGAGCGCTCCTTCACAGGGTCATCATTTGATGTTATTAATTACTGTATTACCTCTCCCCCCCAATAGCTTCCCTGCACTTTCACTCTCCCTCTTCTCCCTACCTCCTCGCCTCTATTCAGGCAACCATGGGGGGGGCCTAAAGGGGAGGGACCATAGAGCTAGGAAGTTATGGAGGGGCCTCTCCAACGAGGACCGGAAGCGGAAGCTCGGCGCCTGCTGTGCTCTCTCTCTCTCTCTCTTCCCCACCTCTATGGTCTTCCTCGCCCGTTTCCCACCAGCCCCAAACTCCCCAGGAACTCTGCAGGGGGGAGGGATTAGGGTTATCCGGTGGAAAAAAGCGCATCAAACTCCCCCTCCCGTTGTTCCCCATGGAAGGAAAGAAGGACCCCCTTTTCCTCCTCCTCCTCCCCCCCCTTCTTCTTGGGGGTCCCGATCACCTCCATGCCATGTGCTTCGGCAGGGAATCATCCTCAGGTAGG